CGTGTGTCCGTGTGTCCGTGTGCGTGTGCGTGTGTGCGGGTGTGCGGGTGTGCGGGTGTGCGGGGGTGTGCGTGTGTCCGTGTGTGCGTGTGTGCGGGTGTGCGGGGGTGTGCGTGTGTCCGTGTGTCCGTGTGTCCGTGTGTCCGTGTGTCCGTGTGTCCGTGTGTCCGTGTGTCCGTGTGTCCGTGTGCGTGTGCGTGCGTGTGCGTGTGCGTGCGTGTGCGTGTGCGTGTGCGTGTGCGTGTGCGTGTGTGCATGAGAAAGAGAGAAAGTGGAGAGGGAGGGGGATCCGGGGAGCAAACGGAGCAAGAGGCGGATGGTGGGATGGCGTTGGGGGAGATGTCTGTATTAGAAGAGCCCGGCGAAGATGTTGTCAATTTCCGAGGACTTGCTCTTCTTCGGCATTTTGGCCGTGGCCTTGGTCGTGCCACCGGCTGGGGCCACCGCCGATCGAGGGATCTTCTTGGAGGAGGGGACTCGCGCGGTGGGGAGCGTCGTGGCCATCTTGTTGGCAGATGCCACAGGGGGAACAGGGGGCGATGTCCCAGTGCCGGGCTTGCCACTCGAGAAGGGGCATGCCCGCACGCCGGTTCGGTCGGGCCCGGGTGCCGGGGCGCTGGAAAAGGGACACGCCCGAACATTGATCGGAGTGGGGGCGCTGATGAGGGGAGCGGCCGGCTCGGACGCGGAAAGGACATTACTTTGGGGGGCGGGCGGGCGTTCCAGAGCCAACCGCAGCATGCCCAAGATGACCTGGGCGAGAACATGCACGCGCCCGAGACAGGCAAACTCCAGAGCAACCAGGGCGAAGTTGTGCTCAATCGGCATCTCGGAAGAGGCCTTCCTGTAGGACAGCAGCATCATGGTCAGTACCCAAACCAGCAACGGAGGACGGCCGACGTGAGGGAAAAGGAGCCAAGTACGCACATTCCACAATTCTCGATGGCCTCGCAGAACTGCACCCACCGTAGGGGGCCGCGAAGTCCGGCGCGTTAGCTTGTGGCAGGGTGACCGATGAAAAGGGTGGCCGGCCATGGAAGGTGGCTCGGCGCGTACCGACTCAAATTGCTCGATGGCCCTCGACAGGCCCTTTGCAGGGAGGTCGCGATTGAGAATCGTCTCCTGGGCGCGCTCATTAATGTGAAGGAACATCCGCACAACCTGGGCAGATGACGCGGAGGGTGTCAGAATGCAAAGTCACCAAGATCCGCCAGGGAGAAGACCAAAGGCACCCTCCGATGCCTTGCTCGCACGTACCTTCTGCAAAGATCGGTAGTGGGGAAACTTGCTGTGCTGGTAGTTGTTCTTGTAGACCAGGCGCCGGAGGATGGCGCACTCGCCGGACAAAGTCAGCCAGAGCTGCCGCCGGCGCTTGATGCTGTCCTTGGGGGCCGGCATGGGCGGCAGGTCGCCAGCCGGAAAGCCAAACCAACACGCATCAGACATGTGTGCTCGAGAAGGATGGCCCTTTCAAGGCGGAGGGGGGAAAAATGCAATCGGAGAATGGGCGGGAGGGGAGCACACAGCAAGAGGGGGGGGGGAGGAGAGAGGTATGCCAGATCGCGCCCTCGGGACACGCGTGTCCGGGAGATGCCCGGCCAAAAGATCTCGCTTTTCTGCCCGCCCACCGCCTCCGGCCCCGGGCGCGGGGACCGGGGCACTCTGCCGTGCGTGCGAGCCGCCAACGAACCGGCCGCCAGGGCATGTGGCCCGGGCGTGATCCGGGAAGCCAACGCACGCGCGATCGTGTCATGCGTTGTTGCTTCGCATGGCGGGTGGATGCACGCGCGCGCGCGCGCGCGCCCAGAGACCGGGGGGATTGCGCGTCCCGCGCGTCTCCTCCCCCCCCCCCTCCCCGCCCTCACCACGGGCGCACTTTGCCTTGGGGCCCTTTTTCGGCCCGTATGCCGGTTTTTCCGAAGGGACACTTTTCCCACATCGCCCTTCCTCCAGCCCCGTTTTTCTCCCCTCTCAGCGGCCTTCGGAAAGCCCGCCTCGCTTCCCTCCCCCCCC